ATATCAGGAACTCTTAAAACCTGATATTCCAAGGCTTTAGGTATTCTAGTAAAGGTGACTTAATATGCGTTTTAAATGTTGTTATATACCGTAAAGCATAAATGTGTAACGGTAATATGTAGATGGCTTTGAACATAAAATACAAATAACTACAACGGAATTCGCAAATATTTCTATCAAGAAAATGTATCTGAATAATGTAAGAAACAAACTCTACATGCAGAAAAATGGAAAAATCAGACCGTAGTGTAAAATTTAGTTCAAAGAGAAAGTATACAATTTGTTTATAGATTTTGTATAAAAAAAGAACTATTTATTTATATTATTTATAAAAATTATTTTATTATTTTCAAGCATAAATAATATTTTACATAAATTACGAAAAACTTTGAAACATCGAAAAATATTCTGTCGTTTGTTATACCATTATACTAAGGGTCCAATGTGCTCAAATACAGCATTATGACCAAATTAAACTAAAGTCTTGTCGTAATTCAAGTACAATTCTAACTATATTACTTAATCAATGACCTCATCATTTCTTCCAAACGCAGACTGAAGAAATTAAAAAAAAAAAAGTTCTCTTCTGATCTATATAAACTTTTTAGATGACATAATTTTTACTTTATATGAAGACCATTCAAATAACTTGGATCAGGTTTTAACCAGCAAATACACTATTAGAAGTTTAATAAATAAATAAATAAGTTATATTTCGATTTATTGGAATATGTCAAGTTCAAAAGGTGTTGCTAACAAAGACAGTGTTTGCAGTAAAAAAATATATCAGTTGAAAATTGAGAATTGAAGAATTAAATTTTGTAATCTAAATATTGATTTACAAAATAAGTATTTGTATCAGTAGTATTTCCACAACTAAGGAATCCGATTCTTATTATTGTTATTAACAAAGCATTCCCCAACTACACCAGACTTATAACTTACAACTGTTTTGATGTAATTGGGAAAACTAAACTCACTTCCTCTACCACCTCTATTAACCAACTGGTTTCAATAGCAATCTCTTTAAGTTTTATCAAATTGATCAACGAAACAAACTGGAATATAATAAATGGTTAATCGTATTTTTTACGTCCACATACTGAAATTTTTTACATACAGAAATCCCTGGGCCACTTTATCAAGTCACGTGCATACATAATAATCTGTAAAGATTGTCGTAACCTGTAAAGTCAGTGACATATTCAGAAGGCAGGCGCATGGGAAAATTTAATAGAAATATTTAATAGAAAAGAAAAACTGTGCAATTTTGATATATTTTTTAATAGTAATAATTCCTACAAACTAAATAAATGAAAATTTAAAAACACTGCAGAAACACTATACACTATCGAAAAATAAATGGTAGAAGACTTAGTTCTAGGTTTTGAGCAATGAATATATTTAGGTTAGAATATTGAAAATAAGATTAATAAGAATACTAGTTTCTACATATAGATGTGTATATAAATTAAACCCTGCTAAATTTTATTATAATTAAGTTAGTAAACTGCAAAGAAAAATCGACAAAAATTGTTTTCAAGCATATTCCCTTTCCCCCAGTTATATGACACTTATTATATATGACATATCTTAAACAGATTGGCACTAATGAGAGTATATATTCTTTTATGGTATATCATATATTTAAGGCAACTTAGTAATGATGAAATGAGGAAAAACAAAAATACTTCTGTCAACGAACAAATTTCTTGAGTGCTTTAGGACCATGTCACTGTTGACAACTATAAATTTGCAGTTGAGAAAGACTTTTTTTTTGGAACAAGCGTAAAAACCAAAAATGACATCAGTCTAGAGATTTAACGAAGAATCACCTTGCCAACAGGTGTTACTTCGGACTAAGTAGGCAATTGAGAAATGAAACCCGCTTTCGATAAACAAAAATGAAGCTCTACAAATCTTTTATCATAACTATTCTGTTTGGACAATAACCATCAGGGATAACAAGGCGCTAGAAGCATTCGAAAAAATCTTCTGAAAAATACTTCGGAAGATCTATGATCCTGTACATATTGACAACGAATATCCAATTAGATGGGACGTTAGGCTATGCGAGCTATATCGCAATATTAACGTAGTTAAAGACATAAAAATTCTGAACCTTCGCTAGCTTGTACATGGAAGAAAATGCTCCGGTTGGAAAGGTGTTTGATTTGGTACCCACTGCTGGAGAACATGGTAGAAGAGGTACGCACTTTTAATGGAGGGATCAGATGACCAACGATATGAAACACTCGATACTACCAACTGGTTATAGCAAACCACTAATCGGTCTGGCTGGCGAAGGCTAGTGGATGCGACCAAGGACAACTTACGTCTGTAATGGCAAACTAGGTAAAAAGTAATTAAGTCAGTGATGTTAATATATAAACTATCTGATTTTATTGCTTTAATCAATATATATGTACATTGACCAAAACTTTGTGGAACAAACAATATATAATAAACTTTGTAGGTAAGATGTTAAAAACTAATTGATAACAAAGAATATCTTATCAAAGTCTATTTTCCCAATGATTTTGGATGATTAATATAAACAAAAGCGGGAGTTTATTTTTAGAGTATTTCAGTACATATGACATATATCCTTGTTAATAATTTTAGTCAAATAAGATATTGTAATTGATGGTAGTTGAATTGAATTAAAAATTTATAGTTTTTGTATATAACAATTAAGATGTCTATTGAAACGTAATCCATTTACGTACTCTTTTGCATTTAAAGGGAAAAGAGATTTTTTATTCTATTTTAAAATAGATAGATAATAAGTTTACACACATTATGGAGGGCTTAGTTTTCAGATGTAGAAGTTTTAATTTGATTTTTTTTAATTGGTAGCTTAAAACAAATTTCGCGTTGTATTTAATTAATAATTATTTTTTGTGCAAATAATTTATTGAATAAAACTGAATGTGAATAATACAATCGGGCATATTTATTCTTATAAGAAAAACCAGCCAATTTCAATCTCTGATCACGGCGCAGCCATTCGAAAACAAAGAAAATTAAAAACGTCCATGAAATTGCTTTCCATTTTCCAGCGCGTTTA